TTCTTGAAGCTGTGCACAGATTGCCTTCATACAGAGTGTGTACCCCCAAGTCTCTTCCATGTTTATGGCTATGTTCCCGTCTTTAAAGTTTACCAGCAGAATTAGTTCTTAGTGAGTTGTTAGTGGTCTGTAAACACAGAAGCTCAAATGTTAATATGTACACAAGTTTGTGCCCTAAATATGCACATTGTCAAAAGAGAGTAGCCAGTAGTGGAAATACTAGACTCTATATGAATCAGACACTATGATATTGGGTTCTAGGATCACCCCTCAAAATTTATCATTGTGCCCGTTCCTGTCAATGTCAAAAGCCCTGATGAAGGATGCTAGTAGGTAAGAGTCGATAAATGAACACATGAAGGATGGTTAGATGTTTTTCTGCTCTGACTTTTATTAGCTCAAACAGTTGTTGAAATTGTTGTAATAGGGATGCCATAGCTAACCAGGATACTGTGTTTGTCTTTTCTATACTTGAACTTTGCCAAGAGGCCAAACATGACTGTTACCACTGACAGTAACTCCTGAATAAGTAGATAAGTGTGAGACAAATTATAAAGTGTAAGTGCTCATTAGACAGTGTCAAGTGAGCAAAGTAGAAAAATATGAAGCCTCAAAAAATGCCAGTATAGAGGAGAAATAGAAGATCTGGGACTTGTTGAAACACATGACTCAAACTACATGGTGATCCTCAAAGTCCTTGGGTTACTTGGTGCTCTTCTTTGAAGGATATCAAGGCTTTTCTTGATACCCCATGAAAGATGAGTTCTAGGAATGAACACTGCCACAAGAGGGCTAACCCTCTGTTACTTATTTTAACCACTGATCGTGGAAGACCATCTGGGTATTGGAGGTATTTAACCACCCATCTTGAAATACTGGTATTGAAGCAGAACTTACACAAGGAGGGAGGTTTGTTCCCTGATCTGGTTGGTGGCTGAGCCATATGGTATTACATATGACCTCACAATGAATTCATTTCACTTCAGACATGAATCATAGCTGGTGTGGGGAAATTTAAGAATGGGCTGTACTTACTATTAGGTCCAGCAAAAAAGACAGTTTTATGCTTTTTTAAGCCTTCATGAGTTATCTGAAATCTATAGTTTCCCCCTTACCTTTGCCATAGTTATTTAAATAATCAGAGAAAATTATATTTTCCTCTTTATGTTCTGAGATACTCTCTACTGATCAATTACTGTAATATTTTAAGTAAATATTGGAAGATAGGTATGTAAAATAAAGTCGGTGGTAAACTAAAAGAGTATTCAATAATCTTTAAATATATCCTAATTCTGGAAATACACAAATCAAAGTCCCACTTGGAGGGAAGCACTAAATTCTGCATCAGTGGTGACTCCTTAAATATGGGTGTCTATATTTACTCTGCAAATTTTAAGACAATAAATAGTTTTCATCTTTGTGAAATGAAGCATAAGTCACTTTTAGCATAATAAATGAAAAAGACTTTAAATTTTTAAAAATTTGGCAAATTTTCCTATACCGATTTAGAGTGATTAAAAAAAGGAACTGAGATGCAAAAAAATGTAATTTTTCCTAAGTAATCCAAGAACAAAACTATGAAACCAGAAGAAACTATAGAACATTTCTAGTTTTATTATCTGTCCTGTGACACCCCTCCCAATTACTAAGATTTGTTCTTTGTGAGAGTACCCAACTGAAGCTGTGATTAGGGACAGAAATATAGTCTGGACCATCAATGAGCTATGGTAAGAAACCCAATCCACTTGGAGGTGGGATAACTTTTTGAATTACCTAAAAATCTCCAAATTTGCCTGGTAAAATAGCATTACTGGAGCTGAACCACTGGGTTCAGCAAATGAAAAAAGTATGCTACCTATGTCTTCAAGATATTCTTCTATGGTGTTACAGTAAAACTAGAGCTTATCTTGGTATAATCTTAAAGAGTCCATGTTTAAATTGATGTACAATAAAAGTACTAATGAGCTATGTATATTTTAAAATAATGTGATCTGTCCCTGTTTTCACTGTAGTGATTGCTCTGGTAGAGTGGATGGACCTTAGATAACTTAGAAAGAATGGGAGATTTGGGATTGCTTCCCATTTTCTCTTCAGCTACCTTCATCCCTTTCTCTTCTTCACATAGTATCCCAAAACTGCTCAAATGCTATCTTATGGTTTCTATTACTATGAAGAGACACCATGACCATGGCAACTCTTATAAAAGAAACATTTAATTGGGACTCACAGTTTTAGAGGTTTAGTCCATTACCAGCATGATGGGGAGCATGGCAGCATGCAGGCAGAAGTAGTGCTGGAGGAATAGCTGAGAGTTCTACATATTGCAGGTAACAGGAAGTCAACTAAACATTACACTGAGGGAAGCTTGAGCAAAAGTGACCCTGAAAGGCCACAGTGACACACTTCCTCCAATAAGGCCATACCTCCTAATAGTGTCACTCCATTTGAGGACCATTTTCTTTCAAACCACCAAAAATTTCAACCTCAAAATTTCATTTTCTTAGAAACATTTTAAAAAAGAAAAACACAAGTCACCTGACTTCTGCTCACCAAAGGAAATTTAACATGGAAACATCAGCCAGATTCACACTGAAACACAAATGGCTAGAACAGTTACATGCTTCCTTCCTCAAGGCTGGCAAATGGAATGCTAGTCTCAATGGCTCCCAAGGAGTAAGGAATGACAGTGATTTTGTTTGGATGTCCAAAGTGATAGAGCTTCTTTAATCCTGAGATGACTGTGTTGTTGGGTCAGGACTCTTCAAGTGGTCCCAGTGTAGAAGAACACGTGATTCTCTTATCTATAGCATCTGTGTTTGATGCTATTTCTGCTGAGTTCCTCGTTTTTAATCCCATCATTTCTCCGTTCTTTAGGCTAATCTATATATTCTGGGCTCTAAATTTTAATTTTTGACCCTGAACTTTGTTTTTGTTTTGGTGTTTTCATTTGTTTGGTTTTAGTTTTGTTTGGCTTTTTGTTTTGAGATAGTCTCACTGTGTTTCCTTCGCTGATCCAGAACCTTACAGTTAGTCCACAAAGGCCACTGTGAGATTTATTATAATGTGAGGTTCCCAAGGCCATAAGTAGGCATGGAAGTAGAAAGGCATTAGACAACAATACAATATATGGCTATATCTAAACATGATGGTGCTTTAGAGGGAAGGAGAAGAAAGGAGGATTGACTGTCCACTAGAATCTAGAGAGGAACTTCTTTAAGGTTGAGAATGAGAGAATAGGGAGAGACAGAAACAGAAAGACCATGAGAGGGATTGTGGGGAAGAGGCCAGAGGAGCCGCTTCAGAGACCAGCCTTAATCTCCAGATCAAAGCCCTTGAGAAGTTTCAGACTAAATTCCAAAACGAAATCTGACTTTTATAGCCTTTTAGGAATGGTAAGAAGTTTTCACATCACATAATTTAGTTCAGCATAGCATACATGCTAGGGACCTTGGAGGAGCCAGGTACCAATTGGAATCAAAATTATAAAATGAGAGGATGGTATTACAACACAGCACAATTTCTTAATTCTCCATCCCAGACAGTGCTGCAGGAGATATGGCTATGGAACCAAGCCTAAAAGTTCAGTTCTGGGTTGTAACAATCTCAAACTTACCAGACAGCGCAGATCAAAGATAGAATTTTTCTGTTTATATTTGATAAGTTGGGGCAGCAAGATGACTCATTCGTTAAAGGCACATGCAGCTAAACCCGACAACCTGAGTTTGTTCAGTCTCTGGGATTAATGTAATAGAAAGAGATTTAATTCCTTCAAGTTGTTCTCTAATCTTCTCTCCCATGCTGCGACCTGAGAATATAATTAACTGATTAATTAAATAAATTTATAAAGGGTTTTTAGGAGTGGCTTGTTTGTTTATTTGGTGGTGTGGTTTTGTTTTGAGACAGGGTTTCACTGTGTAGTCATGGCTGGCAGTTTGTGAAGCTTTTGTATATTACTGCTTTCCAAGATGATTATGCCTAGATATTGTATAGTAATTAACATATTGTTGATGTTAAACAGTTTCTTTATTTAGTTGATGAAAGGGACAGGCAAGCCTTCAGGTCATTGTAATAATGGTCTGAGAATGGTAGAGAAAATTGGTTTGAAAGAGTTATCTTCTGGCCTGCTTTGGAGGGATTTTGGCCTAGGTTTCTATCAGCTCTTAGAAATGAGGAACCCAAAGATGTGCCCCAGCCATTATTTATTACATGGGCTAGATTCAGCTCACATCTTATTAGGGTACATACCCCTTCGTATTGGAAGTGGTTTTGTTTTTGTTTTTTGAGCAGGCTTTTTCTGGGTAGCCATGGCTATCATAGAACTCTCTTTGTAGACCAGGCTGACTCAAACTCAGAGATCCGCCTGCCTCTGTCTCCTGAGTGCTGGGATTAAAGACATGCACCATCATGCCTGGATCATATTAATGTTAAATTGGTTAATCAGCTAACCATTTTTTAGCAAACAAGGATTGAATGGTCCTATGCATAGAACTTGGCTTTATGCACTCTGGCAAAGATAAGAAAAGGCACTATCCCAGCTTTTCAGAACCTTCCTATCTATCCAAATTTCCAAATCTTTAAGCTTATAAAGTGTTCTATAAGTGTGACATTCTAGAGATTTTCTAAGAAAAGTACAGATAATATAAGTTTATGCAAATGTTACTGTGGTTAAGTACTTCTCTTTATTGTAGTTGCTATGGTCCAAGTCGCATTAACACCTTGCCCTCCTTCTTCTACCTCCCACTTTCATTTCTAAATAGCTGTATCCCAAGTAGTTAGTACAGGAGGCTATGAATTGGTCTCCAGTGCAGGTAAAGCTAATAAATGTGATTTAGGATGAAAGGCACTGTGTAAATGCTTGAGATGTTATTACTGCTCTCATGTGCTTTATTATTTTTAAATTGTGCATCCTTTTAAGTAGATTATTTGTTCACCACAGTCTCCATTATATCTAAGCAAAGCCTTCACAGAAATTTCTAAAACCTTTTCATTTCTCTCTGTAGGTTGTTGTTTCGTAACATTTTATACAAGAAAAGCTGCACTTGAGGCCCAGAATGCACTGCACAATATTAAAACTTTACCTGGGGTGAGTAGTTTACTTTTGTACCAAAATCACTTTATTGCTTGAAAATGGTCCTTTCAACTAAAGGTTCTAGTTATGGGTTCTTAGTGCCAAAAATGGCTTTGGTCTTTTGAAGTGTATGTTCTGACCCCTCTGTTCCCTGTGGTCACCAGACCAGCCAGCCAGCCAGCCCACAAAAAAGGCTTGCATTAACACTGATGGGAAGAACTCTCAAATAGCTTGTCTCCTGGTTTGGAAATCAGAGTGACCCCGCTGGGTACAGCAGCTGCCAAAGAGTATGAGTTGGGTTAAGATTTTAAAGGTAGTGGGAACCCCCACACACAAGGAAAGCAAAATGGAAATGGAAAAGCTTTTACTCTCCAGGGTCCCCTTTTCAAATCTAGTCTTTAGATTTTCATTTGAAAGGACAGAATGTACTCTGTATAGACATAATATTAAAGCTCCTAATGACTTCTAAACAGTAAGTGGTGGTTAACAAAGTCAGTGTTTTAATGCCGAATGTGTGCTTCATGTTGGTGTAGAACAGAAAATAGAAAGTTTGTGGTGCTTGTTTTTTATTTCCTTCCTAGTATTAGCTGATGATTAGTGCAGTTATTAGAAATGAACTGATGTTGCATATGACATCTTTGTCAAGATTTATCAGACTTTTGTGGGACTTTTATACATTGCACGGTAGTACAAATTATCCTTTACTGCTCATATGGTATATTTTCTCCATTTACTGAAATGTAAATGGTGAGTTAATTCAATATCATAATGATGTGTGTGTGTTACAATAAAGGACCTGTGATAAATACTCCAAGTACCATGATTTTATTGACACATGTTTTGGTAAGAAGAAAAGAAGGATAAAATGCTCCTGGCGTTTCGGGTATAATTTTAGTGTTTGTTTACTTATCTGTCCCTGTACACATATGCAAACCATGTGCATCACATACTGATATGGGTACACATATATACTTTTCCTTCTGCTTCCCCAAAAGATAGAATTTGTGAAATTCATGTTAGGTCCACTGAAAAACATGTCTGTAGTAGAAAGATGCTTAGAAAAAGATTTTCAAAATATGAGCTTCTTTTGAGATAAATGGATTTTGGAGAGAGGGTCTCCCTAAATAGCCCACATTGTCACAATACTCATTGATCACCAAGAACAAAAAGGTGGAGAACATAGTTACTCAACCCTACCACTTTGGTTTTCCTCTTTTTCATCTGAACAAATCATAGGATAGAAGTGCAAGTGTGTGGTGACGAAGTGATCCTTCAGTGGAACTACTTCGTCCTAAAACTTCCAAAGTGCTTTTTAATGAGATGGCTTTTGTTAAGTCTTCCTTCCTTGTTGACCTAAAATATAATAGTATTTAAGCTTCATTCTTGATGTAAGTGAAAATTGTCCAGTATAATTCTAGAAATTTGTAGGCAACTATTTACTGGCTTGAACAAAAATAGTTAACTTTCTTGTGTACAGACTCTAATCTAGACTACTTTATTTTCCTTCTCATAAAAGTAACTGCCTTATAATAACTAGCACACAAAATCCCTTCTTGATGCATTAAAAATTATTTTTAGTCATAAACTACTACTTGCCATATAAGGAATAGTATAGTTGGATACTACATAATTTGGTTCATGCCATCTTCCTCTGCAAAGGTATTCTTCAGAAACCCAGAGTTTGTTGATAAAGTCAGCTGACCAAAAATCAGTATTTTAGTGCCCAGTTTATGGCTTTGTATTGACAGAGAGTAGAAGATCAAACTGACAGTATTTTTTTCATTTTCCATACTGGTAGATTGGTACATTTTACTAGAAACATGAGGTGAATATGAGCAAGACATATTAAAATGCACAGAGGTACTGATGATTGTTATTTGGGGTGAGGAGCAGAATATCTTAACTCTCATTCTTACAAACGACTAGTCCTTCTGTATGTTCTTCAAATATTGTGGGTTTTTTTTCTTTTCTTCTAAATTCTGCATGTGAAATTCAAGAATAGAGACTCTGTAAACCTGTAATTAAGGACAGTAAGTTGGGAGTGGAGGGGCAAGGACTGGAAAAATAGCTCAGCATTTAAGAACACTGGCTGCTTTTCCAGAGAATCCAGGTTCAATTCCCAGCACCCATGTGGTGGCTGTCCCAGGAAATCTGATGCTGTTTTCTGACCTCCTTCCTGGGTGCCAGGCACATGGTACACAAACATACATGCAGGCAAAACATCCATATTCATAAAGTAAAGAATAAATTTAATTTTTTAAATAAATAAACTAGGAGTTTGAAAAATACAATCGGAATAATTTTTTCTTTTTATCCTCTCAGTTACTAAGACTGAGTTACTTGAAGCAGGTTAAACAAAAATTTGAGAAGTCACATTAGTAAAATTTAAAATGTTACTTGCTATATTTGCCTTTTCACTTGTGGTCATTGGGGATAGAATCTCACATCTTGCATTTATGTGTAGCTTTGTCTTTAAAATATCACTCTTAACAGCTGCAGGGAAGACATGAAAGTAGTTGCCTTTCAGTTGTGAGCCTTTGGTAGACAGGAAGAAATGGGACCAGACATAAAAGATTAATGCATATTCTTAGAGAAAATATTACAAGGTACCTTGCTGTTTGATTACAAGCCTTAGAATTAGTCAACATTTCCATAATTCTAAACCAATATACACCTGTTTTCCCACTGTGATGTGAAGTCATGACTTAATTTAGCAGAAATCCTGCTGTGCTAAATCTCTCATTAAATACCCAGTAAGTTCAGTTATTTAAAGTTGTAGCATGACTATTTTAATTGGTTGCATTCATATTATAAAATTAATAAAAATTAATGATGCACTTTGCCATATGCCTTCAGCTTCTTTGTGAATGAAAAGAAAGGGGACAAAGGAAAACATATCATCTGCTGACACTTTAAACCTTTTCTGGTTGTAATCATTTTCCTGTGGATAAAGTCTGCTACTTGTTGCCTCTTTTCTAATGTGTCCAAAACTTTCAATTTATAGCAAGATCAAATAGTAATTTTTTCTTCCTTGTACAGTTGGTGTTTTGTATCCTAAGGAAATTTTATCATATAGTAGAACTTGACTGATGTCTGGGGTTTTCCTTTGGTCTGAAGCACCAGTTTCCCATCTTGAAAGAAACAAAGAACTTGGTTGGTGCAGGAGAGATAAAAACCAATAGGACTATCTGTCAGGCAGTTTGATGTGTCTGCTCTTTGACTGAACTTTGAAGCACCCTCCTTTTCATTAAGTAGGACTGAGATAAAGAGTTAGGTACCTGGTAACCCAAGATGTGTATCTTAATCCTGTTATGAGAAATGTGTAACTAAAAAAAACCCCAGATTTTGTATCTCCATGTTCAACACAAACCCCTAGAAATAGAGTGGTAGAAACAAAGGAAGCTAATCCAGAAACTCCACCCTGAAAATAAAGAATGAGATTCTAAATTGTTTTTTCATTCGATCAGCCTCGCTTTTTGAAGCAGTTGATTAATGCTTAAGCAACAGATTACTTTACAGTGTTCATTTATTGCTAATACTTCATGAGGCTAATAAATCACAAGTAGTTACTGAGCAACTACTGTGTCTCAGATACTATATAGGAAATAGCAAGGATAAATCCTGGCAAGGCTTCTTCTACTTGGTCTAGCTGAAGGACAGTAGACAATACATACTTGATCTATACTTTAGTGCTGTTCTACTTCTGACACAATATGGAAATTTTACACTTTACACACACACACACACACACACACATACAAACACTTGAGGTCTTCAGTAAGTAGTACTCTTATAGTCTGATGGAGAATATTGTAGCCCTGTGTGCACAGGCTAGGATACACAATAAACCATTGTGTTTCCTGCAGCAGTATTTGATTGACGTTTCCATTCCTATGACACTTATGTTCTTGGGAAAACTTGGGTTGCCACCTATCTCAAGGTGTGACATTCTAGTTCTAAAGAATGTCTCCTTTCATGATAAGAATACAGTATATTCCAGTTACAGAGTTCTGGCCTCATAATATGCAGAGCTTCGGGTTCAATTCCCAATACCATACACACAGAGAATATATCTAACATAATTTTTAAATGATAATGTCCCAAGGAGAGCAGGGAAGGGTATCAGCTCAGGACCCCTAAGACCAAGTTCTCAGCCCAAAGGAGATTTATTTGCCCCAGAGGGACAAAGGTAAGGGAATAAATGACAAAGAAAGGAGATAGCAGATGAGGGAAAAGTGGAAAGGAACAAGGAAAAGGAATAAGAAGTATTTGTCCAGGAGAGGGTTGGCAAAGAACTGCCTCTGAAGAGAGGAGACGTATGTGGCCCATAGGCAAATTGTGATTTATAAAGGTAATCCTTGTTTGGTTTTAATTGTGCATGTTAATTAAGTAAGCTAAAGGGGGCTTTTATTTCTGAACTTCAATGCTTTGATAACTGGGCCCTGGTTGTCAGTCTCAGGAGGAGGAAGCAGCCAAATAAGGGAATAAATAGACCTTGGTGGCTAACTTTAGGAATGTAATCTAACCATTTTTAGCAAAACAGAGAGAATGGTGAGGAAGACTAAAGTCCCTTCAGAGGGTTATATAAGAGACTTTGGGGAGAGAAAGGGAAGGGGGAAACATTATGATTAAATTACAATCTCAAAAAAAAAACAACAACAACAAAAAGTGTGCTTTTTTTCTAATATTTTTGGTTGTGAGCCTAACCTTTAACGGCTGAGCCATTTCTCCAGACCTGGTGTCCTTTTTTCTTTGCTGAGGCAAAAAATGGCACAACCCACGATGATCTCAAACTTGCCTTCGCCTCTCAGTGCTTGAATTACAGGTTTGTGCAACCACTCTCAGCAATAGTCTCCTTTCAGGCAGCTGGAACTACCAAGCAGGGCATTACCATTCAGAGGAAAAGTCAGTGTCTACCATTGTGTATTCCAAAGAGGATAGTCTCATGATGGCAAACTGGATTTTGTACTTTTGTTTTCACTAATCTAGTTTATTTAGTTCAATTAAAAATCCTA